AAAGTTCTGAACATATATTTAAAATGTTGAAGAAAAGGTGTTTAAATTGAAATGTGTTCCAGGAATATTTTTTTATATGTAAAATATTAAGTAAATTGTATAATTTGCTTATAATTTAATAATTTAAATTCAAAGAAATACTTTAACACAATAAATAAGACATTAAGAATAGAAAATTCCATGAGGCACCTGCACATATCTTAATCAATTTATTATAGTTAATAAAATATATAGTTGAATTTGTATTCAACGTGATCGGTAAATAGATTCCATACAATGTAGCTACTACCGAAAGGGCTATTAATTTATTTCCTATTTTATTTATTTCCCATTTTATTTTTTGGCTCGCCCAGAAAAACGCTAAGATTTATATAGCCTAGAGCTCTGTGTGGCTTAAATCGATGATGCCTTGAATGTGGAATGAGGATGGTCATGAAATGGGAATGGGAATGGAAATGGTCATGGAATGGGAATGGGAATGGGAATGAGGAGACCCTCCCGAAAAAAAAAGTAAATAAAAAATATATATAATATATAATGTGCCTTGGCTGCATACTGATGCGATGATGATGATGGGATCATTTCGTTGATTTTCTTAGATTTATTAGCACTGTTTTCGCGAGAACATTTGCCTAAATAGAAAATTTAAATGCAATTTTCAAACACACCACACATTTTTTAATGGCGTCATTTTGTTAATTTTCTTTTGTTTTGTACAAGATGATGGGATGATGACACAATGGATATATATATACAAAATACATTATGTATTGTATAGATATATATATGAAGCACCCACATTGGGCAGACACTATTGCATTTTGCAATAACTTAGAAGGCAAATTGCGACAGTTTCGGAATTTTTGTTTCCCCCTCGAGAAGAATGAGAATTTTAATGGGTGTTGGTTTTTCTATTTTCAACATTTACGCAATGCAATAGTCAAACAATAATTGCTCATATGCCTCTCTCTCTATCTCTCTCTCTATCTCTCCCTCTCTCTCTCTCTCTCTCTATGTATATATAACATATATGTATATATATTTAGTGTACAGATGCCTCATGCAAATATTAAATTACATTGCAAAGTGAGAAACACAAAAAGTCAGGCTGAGAAAAAATTGACTTTGCACTACTTTTCTGGCATTGGTTTACATTTCCACTTCCAAAGCGTGTGTGTTTAGTCTACGGGGCAAAATATTGCAGAACATATATATATATATACTATATATATCACCTTATCACCTGGATATAATAGCCACAATTCGAACCATTTAGAAGAGGAGAGAAGAACGAGTGGAATGAACTCTAATGAACACCGTTGGTTTCGTTTGCATTCCAACTCACAAATCCAATATCAATAGCAAAAAAAAGAAAAGCGAAGCTCATCGAACTCCCAGACTTTGGTATCATCTATAAATAAATGCCTTGCCTCATAGTCTTGCCTCAGTTTTCCCCTGCATTTTCCTTGTTGCAACAGGCGCATACGTCACGCCTTGGACGTGGGCCAGGGAAAACGGATCTTGGATCCAGTCGATATGTCTGGGAATCCAAATAAGAGAGACAGAGAGAGAGAGGCGGGTCAGATGACTAATAATGTCCGGAAGCTGTGCACCAAGCACTATATATATATATATACATATATATATTACCTATATTATATATGACAATTGACAAAGTTAATACACACACGCGGCGATATCGCCAATGGGCAGTTGTTTTAGGCATTATAGGAAAAGCGAACCAGACACTTGACGCTGGCACCTCGCACCTCGCACCTCTTGCCTTGTATAAACAATTTTTTTAAGTGTGCCAGTTGTCCCTGCTGCATCCCTCCCTCCCCTTAAAAACCCCCCTCACACCATTTCGTGTTGAACTTGAGCTCAAGTGGGTGGCGGTAGGAGGGGGGGCGAGGCGTATTGCAGCCTCAATGTAATATTTAAACAAATGCTCGCCTGACTCTCTTTCCACTGAAAAATGCACATGATTGCAGGCATTGGAGATTGCATAATATAAATAATATAAGAAATAATACAAATACTATAGAATTTAAAAGAAATAATATATTAAAAACAGAGCCCCTTTAAGTAGGCAACGCTTTTTGTTGCACAGCAAAACCGGCTATTACATAGTCGTTGTCTGACTTAACTTTCCGTTTATTTTCCTTAAAATTTTCCCAAAAATTTCAATTAGCTTGTTTTCTCATTTAAAATGCTTTTAGATATATACACACGATCCTGGCTAACAGTGTACAGATTCACAGACAGAGAGAGACAGCGAGACAGCGAGAGAGAGAGAGAGAGATGTATCACATGTGTGTGATCGAGGGTCCAACATCTTGTGTCCATATGTTGCACAAACAAACAATCGAAACAGAAACCGTGAAGCCACGAAAACAAGAAAAACCAGGAGAAGGGAATGTGCCAACGGACGCATCTTTACACAGAAAACCAAAAGAAAAACAACAACAAAATATATAAAACATAATCCGAAAAGCCGAAAAAGAAACCAAACTGAAAAGCTGCAAAATGAATTTTTGTCGGGGCCTCTTGTTTTATGTTTATGGGTTTTGCAGTTGCTCTCTGTTGATGATGCAAATATTTTGACAGTTTGTTTGACAGACAAGTGGCGGGACTCCTAACAAAGAAAAGGGTATATATATAGTGTATATACATATATAAGGGATATAGGGATAGGGGAGAGGCCAATCTGTGAGTGATATAGCCCATAAGACGGAAGAATGTGTGTTTACATTGGTAAACAACTTAAACTTAAGATCTGATAGCCATATGGCTAAAAAATGTTTCCATATTCGGTTATGATTGAATAAAATACTCAGATAAGTGTTATTTTTAAGTTCAAAACCTTCACTCAAGTTCAGTCATCAATTTTGGCTCAAAATCAACGATAAACTATATCTAGACATTGATAAAGATTGTAGCTAAACCCCGGGGGGCCACCTGAACGTATACGTAATATGTGATCAGCAAATAATACGCATACGCCGGATGGGCCAGAGAGGGAAAAATGGGTAACTTGGAAAAACTCTAAAGCCTATATCAAAGCTACTTGCTGTTGTCAGTGACCTCGTTACACTCCGATTTGCAGTGGCTCCTTCTTGGAGCTCCAATGATAAGCCCTCTTCTTCCCTCCAGGCGATATAGTAAACATATATATATAAAAATATATATTTTATACGGCAAACGGACGAACGACACAGTTCGAATTTGGCCTCATTTACGCAACTTCCGATGTGATAAAAAAGTGAACCCGCAGCAAAAACAACATTGAATCAAAGAAAAAACAACAATCCGAAAAAGAATCGAACTATATAGCACACAGACACAACACACAATTGAAATGTTAATTTAAGAAATTATTTCATTTGCAAAGACAACGGCCGGGCATCGTCTATGGGCAACATGTCATTAACACGCTGATAAGACGCTATCATCACGGCTCATTATGGTTTATATGTACGTATATATATGTGGAACACCCGTCATATAGATAGAATTTAGAGCTCGAACTGGAACAATCGACTTCTCCTCATCATAATAATTGGCAAAAATAAAACACAGATTTCGGATTCGAAACAATCGCATCATATTCAAGTGTCCAGCGACAATTTGGAAAGAAGAAAAAATATACAAATCGAAATTAATTCCAACGTCTGTTTGATAACCCCAAGATGATGACCTCCCATGGAATCATCGAGATTTGGTTTATTTTTTTGGCCTCTTGTCGCCGCCAAATCCGGTCTTTTAACATTCACTTAACAGGGGGATATAACATTTTGTGAGTCTGTTATTTGAGTTCATTTTTTATTTTATTATGTTGAAAATGAAAAACCCATTTCCATCAATTTGTATGCTAATCGCTGTAGTTTTATATTTAGTATTTTGTGTGTCATCTTAAATATAGTTCAAGTTCGTCGTCTCGTGTGTTGTGTCATCCGTAATGGGATTGTAATGGATCGAAATAGTTAGAAACTATTGGGTTGAGAGGGTCTATAGAACCGAAATAGTATAGATCAACAAATTGATATTAAAAATTTCATTCATTCTATAAAAAATAATATAGAGAATCTAGACTTTTTGATATGATAAATTATAATAAGGGTAATTCCATCACTGATCTTTAAAGTACTATTTATTTAAGACTCCTTAAAGTTATCTTTATTAAATAATACAACAAATTCTAGAGAGTTTTTTGGAAACATAAATTATACTTAAAATAACTCCATATCTGATCCTTTTCTTATTAAATAATGAAGATAATCTAAAGAGTTTTTGGAAAGATATATCCTATCATAATATTAACAGATTCTTATTGAAGACTCTTTAAAGTTAAGGAGGTTTTCTTTATAATATAATAATGAGAATCTATCGAGTTTTTGTAAACAATAATTTATACTAATAGTTAATACTTTTCTGATCTTGAAAGTAGTATTTATTAAGACAAGAACTCCTGTATATATTATAATGAAAATCTAGAGAGTTTTTGTAATAATAAATTATGCTAATAGGTTTTACTTCACTGATTTTGAAAGTAAGTTATTAAAGACTCTAGAATCTAGAGAGTTTTTGGAAAGTGCATATAAAGTAAAGGTAGTTCTTTTACTTCTTTTTTTAACTAAAGTTTTTAATTTAGCTTAACAATTCAAAGACCAAAGCTTTGATTGATCTTTAGCTTACCAACACTCAAGGTGAAAGTCGTTAGCTAATAAGAAACAAACCATTTTTGGCCATACAAAGCCCTATATCAACAAAATCTTGGCTTTTAAGGCTCTGTATATATTTATCTACGATACGGTCAGTTTAAGTAGCCATAAAAAAAACAACCTATAGTTCCAAAGTTTAATTAATTAATGCAAAACAAAACCCCCCTCAAAAACATCAAGTGAATGAAAGCGAAAAGCGTTCGCTATCAGTTTTTGGTTGAATCTGATTTCTTCGATTCCCCACTTCCGGATATATGTACAAACTATATATCATCTCACCTTGGCATTGGTCAGCGGCACGTGGCAGGCGTTGAGGACGAAGGCCACGGCAAGGAGCCGCAGGAGCAGCGACCCCGTTGGACTCCACCGGGATCCCGGTGATCCCGTCATCGTTTGTTTACAAATTTAACGCGTCTCAGTGATATATTTTGTATTATTATTTTCTTCGTTTTGGTTCTATTATTTATCTTCAGATATTATACGGTATTTGGTATTCGGTTACTTTTGGCAGCTATTTTTTTTAGTTTAGGTTTTAGGTACTTGTGTGAAAGGCAGTTTCGGTTCGTATTTGAGTTTTGGTTCTTTAACGGCTGGCAGGTTGGGGTTAAGGCTATGGCACTGCACAGAGATCGAAGAATTAGATACTAATTTAAGTGATAAACATTATAATGTAAGATTCTTATCGAAAAAGAGGTCTCTAACACGTTTAAAGCGTTTACTTCTGTATTAAATTTTTATCTAATATTTCTCTCTGTGCAAAAAATCAAACAAAAAACGGTAACGGGGAATATAAACGAGTAAAAGCAAAGAACACAGAAACTGGATGCGTTTTCCAACATCAGCGAAAAAAAATTCAACCCAAAACCCGAAGATTCGAAGAGTTTCCGAAAAGGAGAAACCGAAAACCGGCAAAAGTTCCCCGAATACAAAAAAAAAAAACACTCGTAGATCCCCGGGATTAAAGGATACACTCTTCTTCGGCTTCTCTTCTTTCTTTCCAATTTCCTTTCTTCCTTTCTTATTCTTTTCTCTCTCTCTCTCTTCTTTATTTTTTAGGGTTGCCACTTTTTTAATTTTTAACAATTTTGGTTATTATTTGCTTTTCTTTCACGCACGAACTTTCGGATCACAGTTACTTTTCGCAAAAAAAAAAACAACAATAACAAGGAAGGGTTTCTTTATCCTTTTTGCACTGATATGTGTGTTCGAGTGTGTGTGGTGTGTGTGTGGCGGGATGTATTTAAAAAGAGAGCACTTAAAAAAAAAAGTTAGGGGAGTAGTAGTAGTAATAGGGAGCTTTTTTTTGTTTTTTTGAGGTGGAGACCGTGGGAATTGTCCGACCCGTTCGAACGATGGCGCGCAACCGAATGGTCTAAGAACCGTGCTGCGATGCTCCTCGCTGCCGCTGCCGGTGACGCCGCCTGCGTCGCTGCCTACGTCGCTGCTTGCGCTCGACCGGCGAGTTGCCGCCGAAGAAACACGAAGCGACACGAGACGACAAAAGTTTTGCGTGCTCTTGTTATTACTGTTGTTTTTGTTGTTGTTGTTGGTTGGGCATAACGGCGCTTAAGTGGCGACTGCAAGCCTGTTGCGTCGATGCAGCCGAGGGGTTCTCTCCCTCTCTCTCTCACTCTCTCTCTCTGTCTTTTTTGGGGGCTTCTCTCTCTGTTCTGTGCTCCCCACCTTGCTTGTGCGTGGGTGTCGCTGCTCCACGTAAAGCCTATCGCGCCTGCTCTTTCTTCCTCCTCTCTCTCTCTCTCTCTTTTCTCTTTGTATCCTTTTATTCTCTCCCCCCCCTCCCCCACGTAGCACACACACACACACACGAGATGCTCTGTAGGTCAACTGATAAACAAGTGAAATAAACCAAAAGAAAACAAAATCCATTGCTCTTTGCACACTTTTCACCTTTCGCTGTTCTCGTTGTTCCTGTTGTTGTTGTTTTTATTGTTAACTATGCAGCCGGTTTGCAAATTACCCCTCTCACTCTTACTCCTGGAGCACACACACATAGAACACCCGCTTCTTTCGCACTTTTTCTGTGAAGCTTTTTGCATTTTACACTGACAGAAATGAAAAAGCAGTTTCTCTATATTCTTAGAAAAAAATAATAAAAATAAATATTTCTGATGGTTTAAAAAAGATAAATAAATAATATAATAATCTTGAGACTTCAAATAAAAAATAAAGATATGTTTTCATATTTATATTTACCTATTACCTTAAAGAAATAAATAAATAAGTATATAACATTCCATTTGAATTTATATATTGGAAAATTGTGTATTTATGTTTAAAAAAGATAAAAAACAAACTGATTTATAAAGGCTTTAATATATCCTGAAGAAGTTTATTATTTGATATTATTGTTATTTGGAACTCTTATACAATATTTGTTTATATATGTATTTTGGTTGAAAACTATACCATATATTTACTAGTACTATTATCAAGTTGATATAAAATATTATATTTATTAGAAAAGGGATTCATTATTTGAAAATTTTTAACTGAAATCCTATGTAAAATCTATTTTTTTAAACCAATGCTAGCTCAAACTCTACATAATATATAAATATATTATAGATCATATATATATTATAGATCATATATATATTACAGAAAGATCATTTCAGACATCTTGACCAAAAAATATAGTAAATCTCTGGAGGAATATACCGAATCCGATCTCATAATAAACGGAATGTGCAGCTTTTGATGCATTTTTTCACATTTAGAATGTGTTTTTGTGTTTCATGCTCTAACAACAAAGGCGGAAAAGTTTGCTGGAGGGAAAAGCCGGAAAAGTACATATTACATATATGAAAATCAGGTGTATCGGACCGTTTCAGAGTGTGCGGTCATCGGGCTAAAAGGAGATGATGCCTTCTCATCATCTCCCAAAATTCCCTCTAATTTTCTGCAATGCACAAAGAAATAGCAAAAAATGCACAAATTTTGCTCACCTTGCGCATAATTTATTTTATTTTATTATTATTGTTGAACTAACATACTTTGCTTTATGTTTTTACAATTTTTAATGAATTTCATGATGGTTGTTAATAGAAAACTCAAAATATTTACAATTTAGTTCGAAATTTCGATGATGGAAACCACTTTTTCAGACTCTTTCAAAAACAATTAATCGGTTTGTATTAAAAAAATTTTTGTACTATAAATTATGACCATAAATTAATCAACTATTTATTTAATTTATAATTCAATTTGAATTTTAATTCTTTGCATGTTTCTATTGCTAATTTCCAACCGAGTTTTACCTTATTAAAATTGTTTCTGTCTTGAAATTAAAAAGAAATTTAGCTAGTTGATGGTAAATAACCAAAATTGGTAAAAGTTTGAATAGTTGGGGCCTGGTCATAGGTCAGAGGTTGTGCCGTGACCTTCATGACCCCCCCCCCCCCAAATAAATTCCCAAACGACCTCAGCCCAACCCCAACCCGACTTTCGACCTCCCGGCTTCCCGGCTTCCCATTGGCGCCCGACTCTCCCAATGACCCAATGACATCCCGGACGACGCATGCGTGAGGAGGAACCGGGGGGAAACGGAGGTAGCCCATCGACCAATGGACACGTTGCGATTTTACGGAGCCCCCCCTCAGCCCCTCGTCCTCCTCCCCTCCTGTCCCTACGGAATAACCCAAAAACTGAGCTCGGAACGGATCGAGAGGCGCCTTCGCAAATGGCCCACAGCTTCCGTTCGCTGATAACACGAATCGCTAAAAATACGCACACGAGAGAGATATCGCCTAATTATGCCAACCGAAAAAAATAAGTGACACTGACCTGGACGGGCACTGTTCGAAAATATGCAAATATATAATATAAATAATATATATTTACTTACAAATATATATTGAAATCGAAAATAAAGCCATATCAAGTATTGAAAATAAACAAATACAATAGAGAATATAAGCTGGAAATTTCTAAATATATATTTGCAGTCTCAGTGATTCACAAGAAGAGTTAAATTGTATTAATTATATAAAAATAATATAGAGATATTTCAATACATAACTCCCCCACAATATTCAACTATATTCAATAGTAAACATTTCAAAATATATGTAATTTTATATACTCTTTATGATCATTCTAAAATTAATAGAATTTTATCTTTACCAATTTTAGAAATGTTCTATTCATATTTATATTTATTTCGTTTAAATTTTAATAGCAACATATACTATATCAATTGTTATTATTTTATTATTTAATATATTTTTAATGAAAGGTGTTATTAAATTTAATAATTAATAAGCAAAATAAGATGCTTGATTTCTCTATTATTCCGTTTCTATATCCGTTTAGTTGGTCCTTAAATTTGGTTTACATTTAATATTTTTGATTGAATTGTTTGTTATTAATTATTATTATTATTATTATTTACTATTATTTGCTTTTATTTAATATTAATATTATTTATTTCATAATATTTCAATAGTCACATTAAGTATTATTTTGAACTATTTTAATAGCTTAACTAAATTTATATAATATAAATTATATAATATATACTTTTATAATTTTTTTTAAATATTTTTTTTATTAAGTTTTCTTTGCACAAAGAACCTATTTTTATGGTAACTCTGTGTGTAATTCTGATTGATTTTAAGTTGATTTCAAATTGTATTTTTCAAAAATTTAAATAATTATTATATTATTAAATATATTATTAAAATACTTATTTTCAAAGCTTAATCTTTCTTGGAACAGCTTTATATTCAAGAATGTAAAAAAAATCTTTAAAAACTCAATCAGTATGTGATTGCTTTTTAAAAACTTTTCAGAATATTAAGAACATTTCATGGAAACTTTTTATTTCTAATCTTTTTCATATTATTTGAATTACTTTAAAGTAGTTCAATTAAGTATTTTGTTCAGTGGCCCGAATAATTTTATTGGGGACACAAGTAAATAATTAATATATATATTTTTTTGGGTGGAGTCAATAGGTGGCCCTTATCGCAACGCTGCTGCTGGCAGCACGAAATTGGAACAAATGCTGGAAACGGAGAAAAGGTTATCAACGGTGAGAAAAACCCCAAGACAGAAAAAAGGAAAGTTTTTCAAATCAAATGCCATTATTTCACCACAGCTGGTTATGGTGAATACTGTGAGTAGACTCTGTTGGCCGCCTTAGAAAGCTGGCGATAGTTTGAGAGTCACTCGACATAAGCTTTTAGCCAAGTCAACAAAAGTTTTGCAGAAAAGCTTGCCAAAAGCTGTTCTCCATTGATTGAATAGATTTTTAATTATTTGTTTAAAACAAATATATCTCTAATATCAGTTAACGTGAAAATGATAATGATGAATAAATAAATAATTATCGGGTCAATGGTTAAATCTTTTATCAACAGTTTATTAATTTTTCATCTGTTGTATTAATTCAATATTTGAACAACAAAGAAAGCCTAGAATTTAATGTAACACAGAATTTAAGGCGAACGAAATTTTCAGGCTTTTCCAAATTTATTTGCGGGGTGGATGATCCTCGTAGAGTGTCATCCACTTAACCCTAAAACTCGGACTTCCACAGTATCGACTCTTGAGGAATGACATTCTTCCCGTTTTGATTGAAGATCTCCCCTGAAGATCCTTCTGCTGCTCCTGCTGCTCCTGCTCCTCCACTCCCAATGAAGACAAGCTCCTATTGGACGAACCTCAGCGCGAGAAGCAAACCGTGTTCAATGGCGGAAGTGGCACTATTTCCACCTCAGTCTCCGAGCGTCAGAGATCGGTTACACCACCAAGAAACAGCAGCAGCTCCAAGCCATCAGGTCCCAGCACCACAGCCACCAATCCCAACACTTTACTCCAGAGAGAGTTCAAGGAAATCAATGCCAAGACTCGGCATTGGGTTGGGATTGAAGTCTGGAGTCCCAGGAACTGGTGACGTGGTTCCTCTACTGCGACTTGGCGGTGTAATCGGTCTCTGACGCTCGGAAATCGTAATGGTAATGGTGCCACTGCCGTCAATGAACTCGGATTCCTGCTCGCCAGGCTCCTGTTCATCACTGAAAGTCTTGGACCACAACCAGAGTAAAAGATTACCTAAAGGATCTCTCGTTGAGATTGTGGTTCAAGATCAAGAACTTGTAATGATCTTACCCGGCGCGGTCCATGATTTGGATTGGTTTGAGAACTTTTTACTTTTTTTATCGCTTTGTTTTACTTTTTTATGGCCAAAGGTTAAAATTTTCCAAATATAAAATAATACTATGAAATTTCAGGAGACACTTCCAATTCAAAGGTTAGATGTAGAATGAAATATGTTGGGGCTTTGTCGGGTAGGAAATGTTTCTACAGACTAAAAGCCTTTACATGGCATACTTTGATGAATAGAAATGGATAGAAATTCATGAATTTCCTTTTAAGAATCATAGAATACATGAAATAAAAAAATAAATAACTTAGGGAACTTAGCTGTTGAATGAAACAAGTATATGCTTTTAACAGCTTTGTTAGGGACACAAGAATAAACAAACCTCAGATTACTAATTAAATTAATTAGTTGCCAAATAATTAGTAGTACTAAATAACTATTAAATCTCTATTAAATTGGGGGTCGAAGGGTTATCACTATCAGTAATCACTATCACTTATGATGTAAACAGTAGGGAGGCCACGTATAGAAAGAGGCCAGTGCAATGCAGAGCCTTGTACTTATAGTCTCTAATTAAAGAGAAAGGAGAAAATGAGAGCGAGAGGGAAAGAGGCATCTATGGAGAAGAGCAGAGAGAGTGATAGAGAGGCCTCGCTGGCCTCACCCATCCCTTTCTCTGGAGAACTCTCTATCTGTCTCATTCCTTGCCTCCATAGATGCCTCTTTCTCTCTCGCTCTCACCTTCTCTATTCTCTATAAATACCGGGCTCTGCCGCCTTGCGCACCTCAGTCGGTCCGTGGCGTCTCCAGTGTTAACATCTAGAGTGATAGTGATAGTGCCTGCCCTTCGACCCGAAAAATATGACGTGGCCCATGCACAACATCTGGATGACCAGGAAGAAGCTTAACGTCACAGGAAATGTAAATCTACACTGGAAGCAATTCAACAATGACGAAAACGGAATATTGCCACGTGTTCTCCACTGGGGTAAGTCTTTACCATGACAATTATATAATGAACATACATAGATACTAATTAAGTGATTAGGCCTAAGTCTAGAATCAGCTAGCCTTTCATTTATTTACCAATTAATTCTATTATTACTGAATTTTAATGTTAAGTAATATATTAACAGCCCAACTTAAATATACTTTAACTGAATCTGACTTTGGTGAGAACTTTTGCTATTATAATTTCAGTCAAAAGCTTCAAGTTCATTTCATATATATTCTTGATCAGCATCAACAGCTGATTCGATCTAGCTATGTCCTGTAGAAAAATATTTATTTCCAAAATTTTTCATATATATACACATTTTTTAGGATTTCTTGTAAGCCCAAAAATACAATAATTGCCATTAGCCTTAAATTAATTGAAATTAAAATATTAATAAACAGATGAAAATTCGACAAAATATGTAACTACATTTTACATTTTTGACATCCTTAACATTGTTAAAAAATCATCAAATGTAAAAAAATAAGTAAAGAGGGCCGCTCCCCAACGCTCCAATTGGCCAAATTAGGAACCAAAATAGTGGATCTGTACTCTAAGCCGCTCTCTCGCTCTCCGGTTTCACATTCCGTTGCGAGAGCAAGCAAACTCAGTAACGGCACTTGCAACGGTTTTTCAACGGCAAGGAATGCGCAAAGAATAACGGGGATACGAAAAAATAGAAAAAAGTTGTGTCACTCACTCGCTTACATTGCTTGTTGTTGCTGCAGCTTCGAAGATCCAAACTTCGAATTAGAGGATGAAAACAAGAAGGCATGGCACACCCACTTACAAAATGTCTTCACCATAAAAAAAACAACAAAATTCAGTAGCCAAAAACAATGCAGTGATCTTGGCCATGCACAAGTATACATACACACAAGAAAAAAATCGCGACAGGACTTTTGGGGCTTTTCCCGGCTTGCCCCCACTTTACTAACACTTTCCACTGCCGCAGCTCACTGTTTTCACGCACTTCTAACACCTGGCAGTGTTTTTCCGCTGTTAATTTTCCGTTTTTCCTAGTTTTCAGCGATCTCCTTGTGCAGCGATATTTTTTTCGTCCGCTTCGTCCAGTGGATTTGGAGTAAATGACAGGAGTGAGAGGAGCGCGAGAGAGAGGCTGCAGCGATGTCGCCAAATTCAAATGGACTCTCTGAAAACCCTTTTCCCTTTTTGTCCAATAGGTGATCGCTGGCTGATGTCGTTTTTTCCCAATAGGAAATAAATAGTAAATAAGTTTAAAAAAAAACTAACTTGGATTATCGCAAATATCAAGTCTTTTAATTATACCCTTTCAGGATATTATAATTTTAATCAGAAATCACGCATTTCCGACCCGATAATGTATATATTTTCTTGATCAGCACCATCTAGCGTTTCTACAGGCAAGTTGCAAAGACATTTATCCTTACTATATTTATTAAGCATTGGCGACCTCTGGCGACAAACATGGATAAAAACTTTATTACATGTTTAATAATTTGTTTTTAGTTTTACAAGGATTTAAGTATGCAGATTTGTTAAAAAACTAGCAAAGAAAATCTTTCCCCATTGAATTTAGTGCGATTTTTGCTTAGTTATGATATTTGAAAAACTTTGATTTACCGCAAAAAATTAGCATATAAATTAATAAAAATTAATCTTTGGCCTAATTATGATCGATTTTACATTCAAACCCTTGCAAGAGTAGACACACTTCGGTTTCCCGAAGTAAGCTTCCTTCCTTTCTTGTTATTTTACAATGATAGAATAGATAGATAGAATAGAAGAATATTCTTTTTATTATTATTACATTAAAACAAATTCAATTGTCATTTAAATATATATCCCAGGATGGTTTGTTCCATCATTTATGCACTCACTTTTACATTTTCCGTGCACTTTTCCGACTTCCGTTACCGAGTTTTCCGCTAAAATATTTGCCACCACCCAAAAACACACCCACAGCGATAGCGACAGGACCTTCGTCGAGTCACGTGTTTTGCAATGGCAACTTGTTGGCTTTTGCATACGCAAAAAGGCATCCTTTGGCGTGCACACACATTTCCACATTGTTGCGCTGAATAATTTAATAGGAAGTCCGCACATGTCCTATTTTTACGGCACGTCTCCTTGACGCGAACGGACAATTATTTTTGTATCAAGTGCCAAGCTCATACAAATGAAATAAAATGTGGGGCATTGTGAAAATCAAATGTCCTTCCCCGGAATGTGAGCAATTTCAGGAATAATTAATCAGAAGCGTGGGATAAATAATTATTAGGCGCGAATGATTTAAGCGAAATCAAAATGTATTAATTTCAGGGCAGAGTGCAGAGTGAATTATATACAAAATGTGGAAATTCAATAAGTTAATTTCTTTAGCTTTAAGTAACTTAAAGTTCAAGTTAATTGCTTAAACTAAATACAATTTAAAGTTTAAGTTAGTTACTTTAACTAAATAATATTTAAAGTTTCAGAGATAATATTCTATTTGAAGACCACAGTGCGTATGATTTATAATAAGACTTTAAAATGTGCTGATTTAATAAGATTTAATTTCCTTAATTTTAAATATAATTATAAATCCAAGAAATTCCCGATTTGAAGTGCAAAACTTCATAATTTTCCTAAGAAACTGCTTCCAAATATTACCCATACGCCATGTAGACTAGAAAAATATTTGTAGCCCTGAAAACGTAATCAAATAAAGCAACTAAAGCAAGTCTTTGTTTTATTTACATATATCTATGCCAGAAAATATAAAAAAAGGTAAATTGTGACCTTAAATTTTCCACTTGCAACAGATTTTCCCAATCACCAGGTTTCCGTTTCTAAAATAAATCAAGAAAAAATATTGCTAGAATTTTTTTTGGGTTACGTAGATGCCGCGCGTTGGGCTTTCCTTTACCGGAAAAGCCGAACAAGTGGCCGGTAACAAGTTGGCAAAGTGGGAAAACTGTGGAAAACTGCAGGTTGCATAAGGCGAAGTTTCACCTTTTGGCGATTTAGCCATCCGCAGTTGACATTCCCCCAGCCCCTGTCCCAACCCCCTTACTTCCGTCTCAGTCTCATTTTCATTTTCATTTTCATTTTCATCTTTGCCCTCAATTGTTGTGCAATTGTTGGCGAAAACTTGTTGTCAGGGAAAAGGACCGCCGCTGTTGTTGCCAAAGCGTTTGCTAATTGTTCAGCTGACTTTCTTTATTTATATTATATACATTCGTTGCTTCACTTCACCTTTATTACTATTTTTTTTTTGTATTTTGCAAGACCTTTTGCGTTGGCTTTTAGCTTAATTAAGACCAGGCTCTTGTCGCTTTTCGGTGTGTCTCCAGTTCATCAATACGCATTTGAAGGTATTTTGCGGCATTGAAATTTAATTTCGTTTCAAATTAATTAAATTGACCGACCACCCTCTGTGTAGGGTATAGGGAAGGGGGCCTAAAACTCAAAGAATCAAATGGAAACTGCCAAAAGGTCAGCGAGGAAAAGTGTGGCAGAAGGGGGACTCGCGCTTTGTAGATAAATCCTATTGAGTTTGGAGAGGAACTTTGGAAAATTACTAGTTGAGAGTTAACTAATGAAACGTGTGCTGGAAACCTCTTTAATATGATCCTAGAACAATTGGTTGTCAATTGGCGAACCTTTTAGTCCGGTCCTCAAATGATATTCTTATTTATATTCTTAAGTATGTCTATTTCCGCCTGATTATACCATAAAGTGATCTAAAGCTCAGCTATTTATTTCCATCAAGAAAGAGTATCCAGAATGTATCATCAAGAAACAATTTCACACACAGAATTTAAGATGGACAAAGCTTTCAGGCGTTTCCAAATTTATTTGCGGGGTGGATGATCCTCGTAGAGTGTCATCCACTTAACCCTAAAACTCTTACTGCCACAGTATCGACTCTTGAGGAACGATATTCTTCCCGTTTTGATTGAAGAATTCCCCTGAAGATCCTTCTGCTCCTCCTGCTGCTCCTACTCCTCCACTCCCAATGAAGGTCAGCTCCTATTGGACGAACCTCAGCGCGAGAAGCAAACCGTGTTCAATGGCGGAAGTGGCACTATTTCCACCTCAGTCTCCGAGCGTCAGAGATCGGTTACACCACCAAGAAACAGCAGCAGCTCCAAGCCATCAGGTCCCAGCACCACAGCCACCAATCCCAACACTTTACTCCAGAGAGAGTTCAAGGCAATTAATGCCAAGACTCGGCATTGGGTTGGGATTGAAGTCTGGAGTCCCAGGAACTGGTGACGTGGTTCCTCTACTGTGACTTGGCGGTGTAATCGGTCTCTGACGCTCGGAAATCGTAATGGTAATGGTGCCACTGCCGTCAATGAACTCGGATTCCTGCTCGCCAGGCTCCTGTTCATCACTGAAAGTCTTGGACCACAACCGGAGTAAAAGATTACCTAAAGGATCTCTCGTTGAGATTGTGGTTCAAGATCAAGAACTCGTAATGATCTTACCCGGCGCGGTCCATGATTGGGATTGGTTTGAGAACTTTTTACTTTTTTTTATCGTTTTGTTTTACTTTTTTATGGCCAAAGGTTAAAATTTTCCAAATATAAAATAATACTGTGAAATTTCAGGAGACACTTCCAGTTCAAAGGTTAGATGTAGAATGAAATATGTTGGGTCTTTGTCGGGTAGGAAATGTTTTTACAGACTAAAAGCCTTTACATGGCATACTTTGATGAATGAAAATGGATAGAAATTCATGAATTTCCTTTTAAGAATCATAGAATACATGAAATAAAAAAAAATAACTTAGGGAACTTAGCTGTTGAATGAAACAAGTATATGCTTTTAACAGCTTTGTTAAGGACACAAGAATAAACAAACCTCAGATTACTAATTAAATTAATTAGTTGCCAAATTATTAGTAGTACTAAATAACTATTAAATCTCTATTAAATTGAGGGTCGAAGGGTTATCACTATCAGTAATCAGTATAACTATAGATGTAAACAGTAGGGAGGCCACATATAAAAAGAGGACAATGCAATGCAGAGCCTTGTATTTGTATTCTCCAAATAAAGAGAAAGGAGAAAGTGAGAGCGAGAGGGAAAGAGGCATCTATGGAGAAGAGCAGAGAGAGTGATAGAGAGGCCTCGCTGGCCTCACCCATCCCTATCTCTGGAGAACTCTCTATCTGTCTCATTCCTTGCCTCCATAGATGCCTCTTTCTCTCTCGCTCTCACCTTCTCTATTCTCTATAAATACCGGGCTCTGCCGCCTTGCGGCGCTTAGTCTGTTCGTGGCGTCTCCAGTGTCAACATCTAGAGTGATAGTGATAGTGCCTGCCCTTCGACCCGAAAAATATGACGTGGCCCATGCACAACATCTGGATGACCAGGAAGAAGCTTAACGTCACCGGAAATGTAAATCTACCTTGGAAGCAATTCAACAATGACGAAAACGGAATATTGCCACGTGTCCTCCACTGGGGTAAGTCTTTACCATGACAATTATATTATGAACATACATAGATACTAATTAAGTGATTAGGCCTAAGTCTAGAATCAGCTAGCTATTCATTTATTTACCAATTAATTCTATTATTACTGAATTTTAATTTAAAGGAATGTATTAACAGCCCAACTTAAATATACTTTAACTGAATCTGACTTTGGTGAGAACTTTTGCTATTATAATTTCAGTCAGGAGCTTCAAATTCATTTCATATATATTCTTGATCAGCATCATCAGCTGATTCGATCTAGCTATGTCCTGTAGAAAAATATTTATTTCCAAAATTTTTCATATATATAAAAATTTTTTTGGATTTGTTGTAAGACCAAAAAGACAATGATTGCCATTAACCTTATACATATATTTCTAATTGAAATTAAAATATTAATAAACAGATGAAAATTCGACAAAATATGTACATAACTACATTTTAAATTTTTGACGTCCTTAACATTGTTAAAAATCATCAAATGTAAAAAAATAAGTAAAAAAGGCCGCTTCCCCAACGCTCCAATTGGCCAAAGTAGGAACCAAAATAGTGGATCTGTACTCTAAGCCGCTCTCTCGCTCTCCGGTTTCACATTCCGTTGCGAGAGCAAGCAAACTCAGTAACGGCACATGCAACGGTTTTTCAACGGCAAGGAATGCGCAAAGAATAACGGGGATACGAGAAAATAGAAAAAGTTGTGTGTCACTCACTCGCTTATATGGCTTGTTGTTGCTGCAGCTTCGAAGATCCAAACTTCGAATTAGAGGATGAATATAAGAAGGCATGGCACACCCACTTACAAAATGTCTTCACCATAAAAAAAACAACAAAATTCAGTAGCCAAAAACAATGCAGTGATCTTGGCCATGCACAAGTATACATACACACAAGAAAAAAATCGCGACAGGAGTTTTGGGGCTTTTCCCGGCTTGCCCCCACTTTACTAACACTTTCCACTGCCGCAGCTCACTGTTTTCACGCACTTCTAACACCTGGCAGTGTTTTTCCGCTGTTAATTTTCCGTTTTTCCTAGTTTTCAGCGATCTCCTTGTGCAGCGATATTTTTTTCGTCCGCTTCGTCCAGTGGATTTGGAGTAAATGGCAGGAGTGAGAGAAGCGCGAGAGAGAGGCTGCAGCGATGTCGCCAAATTCAAATGGACTCTCTGAAAACCCTTTTCACTTTTTGCCCAATAGGTGATCGCTGGCTGATATCGTTTTTTTCCCAATAGGAAATAAATAGTAAATAAGTTAAATAAATAAGTTAAAAAAAAAAACTAATATGGATAATCGCAAATATCAAGATTTTTATTATACCCTTTCAGATATTATAATTTGAATCAGAAATCACGCATTTCCGACCCGATAATGTATATATATTCTTGATCAGCACCCTCTAGCGTTTCTACAGGCAAGTTGCAAAGACATTTATCCTTACTATATTTATTAAGCATTGGCGACCTCTGGCGACAGACATGGATAAAACTTTATTACATGTTTAAAAATTTGTTTTTAGTTTTACAAGAATTAGAGTATGCAGATTTGTTAACCTTTTAAAAGACTAGCAAAGAAAATCTTTCCACATTGAATTTAGTGCGATTTTTGCTTGGTTATGATATTTTAAAAACTTTGAATTACCCCAAATAAATAGTATACAAACTTTAATATTTGATGATTTAATATGGAATATGAAACACACATAGTTTAGGATTTCTTTTAGGCATTAGGAGACCAAGAAGCGAATGATTGATAAGAAAATATCTCTGATTTCAAATAGTGTTTCAATTACATTTCTATTATAAATTTTTGTTTATCTTTAGTTAAGTTAAGTTAATGATGGAACCTATTTTGAGATTTTGCTCCTACTTAATCCCACTTACTTTGATGGTTTGGATAAAAGACATTTTGTAATCCATGAACTAATAATAAACCTCCATGGGCGACGAAAGTTGACTTGGAATTAATCACCATCAAAGGTCAATATGAATTTAATTGATTATATATAAATAATTCTTGTATATTTCATTAAGGTAATGTGGTAAATTATTAACACAAACATTCAAAAAATAAATATATAAATAAACAAGAACAATTTGAACTATATAATTACCTTAATTCATTAACAAATTACTACACAACATTCCAATTTGTATCAAATAATACCAGCTAATATTTTAATACTTTTAATTGACTTTCATGTATTTTCTAATTAACAGAATCTATTGTCAAATGACCTCCAACTCCCCCTAACAAAAAAAAACCAAACAAACAAAAAACAATAGGTAAACAAGACAAGAAAAAAAGAACAACAAAAGTAAATAAAAAAACAAGACAAACAATCGACCAAAAGACAAAGGAAGGCCGTTGCTCTACCTTTTCCTTCTCGCGGCTTAATCATTAATATTTTTGGATTTCATTTTAACAGTGTATATGTGTATATAGTCTGTATATATATGTCTGCATGTGCTTCAGATTTCCCATTTTTCGCTAAACGCTAACGCCTTTGTTTATGTTTATTTGCCGCTCAGTAATTAAAAGGCAATCAAAAGGCAAATAGATTCTTGGACTGGGCACCTGGGAACGCGCCCTCTGATGATGATGAAGAGAAAAGTTTTGGGGAAAAGCGTATTAAATCATATTACAAAATTTATCACTGCATTCAGAGTTAAAGCAAATTGTTTATTTATCATTTTAAGTTTAAGAAAAAAAGATTTTAAGCTTTTATGATATGCCTGCAATGTTTGATATAAAAATATATATTTTTGTATAATTTTAACTAATGATTAATAATGATTAATTTATTAATTGACCAATTTTACTTCATATAAAAATGCTTAGAAGCTTTTAAAATATTTCTTTTTTTGATATTAAGGCTTATAATTATTATACACTTAACCCCATCCAATATCATTTTAAATTTCCTTACAAAAAAAAAATATTTTTTAATATTTCATTAAGCATTTTCCCAGAGTGCAAACTTTGGGACTTGTCAACCGTTTCTTCCCAAAGAAAACAGCGATAAAACGCTAAGAAAGCAAAAAAGAAAACATTCTACTCGACTCTTTTGCTCTTTTGCCAATAAAAGCCCGGCTAAAATCTAAACAAAAATGGCTAAAAACAGCAGGAGAAAAGCTGAAGCAACAGGGCAATAAAAAATTGATTTTTTTTCCTCCTGCCAGCGTTTCGTTTAAACAAATTTTGTTGCCAAACGCGGCACAACTGACAGTCGTAAAAAAAAATATATATAGTATGTGTATGGTCTGCATGTCCCAGGAAAGGCTAAAAAAAGATATAAACCCTTTGATGACCTGGAAAAAATATTAAATAGAATTTAAATCACTTTAAAAAGGTCTTTAAGTTCACCAAGAATATATTTAAGAATGTATAAAAAATAACTATAAAGTTAAGTAATAATTCATAAGAAAGACTAATTTAATATACAATTTAAACCACTTTAATATCATAAAGAACATATTTAATAGATTAAGTACTTACAAATTTATTAAAACTCATTTTTTAAGAGTAAAAATTCATATGAAATCCAAGAAAAAAGAATAAACTTTCAGTAATATTTAATAAGAAACCCAATATACCCTTTGTCTTATCTAAATATAGGGTACCTCAAAGAAGTGAACACACTTGAAGCATAAAACTTGCCGAAATTGCCCAGAACTGAGTTGAGAAAACAATATATAACATAAAGGAAAAAGGGGTTCTTGCATTTTGCAAATGGTAGAAAATTTCTGTGCCACATGGCCTACAGGACCTACAGACATATGTCCAAAATAAGACATATGTATATACATTTAACTAGAATACCAATTAACCCACTTTTCGTTCGATTTAATACGAAAATTCCCTCAATTTGCATTAAAATTGCATGACCTCTAAGAGTACTGCCACTTGCGTTAATTTTCCTTTCGATTTTCCACCAATCGAAGACATTTCAATCAATTAAAGCCTTCAATGGCAACTCTCAATATTAAGTTTCGTTGCAATTTCCCTCTACAAAAAAAATATATATTCTAGTTGCAGAATAAATTCAGTTGCAGGAGTGCTAAAGGTGCTCCTTGCCCTGCCCCATTTTCCTAGCAGCACTCAGTCAATTTAACGCTTCATTTGCACAAGTTTTTCTTTATTTTTCCCGTATTTCT